AGTAGAGTCCGTTTATGATTAAAAGATGCAAATTTCAGCATTATGAGTTGCATATTCTAAAAAAACAAACATGTATACATATTTTGATCTAGAAATTTGATCACCAAAAAATTTAACTTAACATTTTATTAAGATCTTTCAGTACGTACTTGTTAATTTAGAGGAAATTCAAAATAATAATTAAAAAAAATATATAACTTTAAATTTCAAGCTGAAATATCTTTTAAATAATGCGTCATTACAGTCTATACAACTGCAATAGCGAGTGACTTAGAAGACATCATTGAAGTCAACACGACAGAATCTGCGATTAAAGATTTCTTTCGCGGTATAGCTTCCTCTTAAGATGCACTTTTCATTGGTCAGTTGTACAATGTGAGTAATAAAATAAAAGGTGATATACTTAAATCCAGAAACTCAAGCATTATCAAAATTTTATTTAACATAATAATTTACTAAAGTCTCCCGTAATGGTAAAAATGAATGAAATTCTGTTCAGTGCCGTTCCTGGGGTAGCGAANGCGATGATATTTAAAATCTTAAGCTTTAAATGAGAAAAATGACTCCCATTTAAGTTTATAAAAATAAACTTGGCAGGGTAAACAGGTATAAAACACAAATTCGGTACTTTAATATTAAAAGAGAAAAAAAAAATCAAGCGCTAGACCATGAAATGCTTTTTAGGCTCATACGATCAAAAAGCTTCTCTTTTAACCATTAGTGACAGCAAAACCTCGGCAGTTAAGCTAAAAGGCTGAAATTAGCATATTTTCTTGCTAGCTCCGGTGTTTTAAAAGAAAAGATAAACAAAAACAAAGAAAGTTACACCACTTGGCGAAGAGGAATATCGCCAGCGACTAAAGGAAGTCAAGTCAAATTACACATACACTCTATTCGCTGGTTCCAGTCAAGTTGACAGTTAACTTGAGAGATAAAAGTTTTTTACGAAAGAGTGTCAGAAAAATTTTCAAGAGGTCCCGAAACAGAATAAAGATAAAAAATGCAAATGAAAAAAGAAGAAAAAGAAAACAAGGATTTGTTATTCATTAAAAAAGAAGTTTGAGAGGAAAATGATATATAGTCCGAAAAATTTAACTTCCGATATGGATATTTTCTTATGATGATTTATGATTGGAACTTGAGAAAACAGTTAATTTTTTGTAGTAAATTTTTTCATAAAAACAAAAAATATGCACTCTGTATTCTTATGCTTTGAATTGTGCAGGAATATGTGATTTTTAAGGATGGAATTTGAGTTGAAATGTTTCATGATTTTTAAGGATGGAATTCGTGTTGAAATGTTAGATTCTTATTATTGCAATTTGTGTTGAAATGTTTGATTTTTACAAATGGAATTCGTGTTGAGATGTTTGATTCTTATGTATGAAATTTGTGTTGAAATGCTTGATTTTTAAGGATGGAATTCGTGTTGAAATGTTTGATTCTCATAGATGGAATTTGTGTTAGAATGTTTGATTTTTAAGAATGGAATTCGTGTTGAAATGTTTGATTCTTATGGGTGGAATTTGTGTTGAAATGTTTGATTTTAAAGGATGGAATTCGCGCTGAAATGTTTGATTCTTATGGATGAAATTTTTGTTGAAATGCTTGATTTTCATAAATGGAATTGAGATTAAATGTTTGATTTTTAAGAAAGGAATTTGTGTTGAATTGTTTGATTTTTAAAATGGAATTGAAATTAAATGTTTGATTTTCATGAATGGAATTTCAGTTGAAATGTTTGTTTTTAATAAATGGAATAGAGATTAAATGTTTCATTTTATGCGTGGAATTCTGTTGAAATGTTTAAAGACATTGAAAAGAGTAAATGTATTCCATGTTAGTTTGGGAGTAAGTAGAAACGTAGCGAAATATGTCAAATTTTTCAAATTTAACTGTAAATATTTATAATTTAATTTATGGTATAAAATGAAGAAAGATAAAGAAAGACATTTAATTAATAAGATAAAGAAATTCATAAGATAAAGAAAGACATTTATTCCATATAGTTTTCAAAAATTACAGAAAAATTGGAGCAAATAATTGTATTTTAAATATAAAATAAAAAGGGTTTGGGCAATATAATAGGATTAGGCATGAAATTTCTCTAAGGAGACATTTTTACTTCATATTGCTCCTTAGTAATGTTTCTAGATAACTACATTAAAAGTTTTTTTTTATGTATATAGGTATCATTTAATATCGTTAAATAAATAAATAACTAAATAGGTAACTAATTCATCAATAAATAAATTATTTTCGCTTAAATATTGCTATAAATGTTATTAATTTCAAGAAATTAACTTTTTTGATATTTATGATTATTCCTCTGTTTCAATAATTATATCATGTGATTCGTTTAATCAATGATAATGCACCAAATAGTAGAACGTCAATTATCTTTTTATGCTATATCATAAGATATCATTCAATTTTATTTTCGTCATTTAGAAATCCCAACTCATGAAAAATGCCTTCTATATTTTGAAGATGTAATTATAAGGAATGATTCTTTTTTTCCATTTAAGTAATGAATTCTGGTGAGAAATATGAAACAGTTTAGCAAAAAAAATATAAACTTATCGAAGTGATAGTAAAGCTTTTGGGGAAAAAATGACACCAAAACAAAACTTTTTTTTCCGTATCACTTAACATTTGTTTTCATTCGGCAAGGGCCCGAATTTATAGCAGAGCTTTACTTTTATGAGTCTACGGGGAATTTCGAATGTTTCTTTTATACCACAGAAAACTGTAGCAGCGAACTTATTTCTTATTGCTTCGTAGCATTTCTCTTCATTGATCTGAAGGATAAATAGCGACGTAACTAATTGGTGCAATTTGAAAAAGAAAGTTCCAACTTCGCCCCCAGAAAACAGTAAAATATCGACGCGATTTATCAACTTTCAATAATACCGCACTTTTGTTTTGGCTTGAAGTTTTATAAGATATCGACTCGATCTCGTAGCTGGTCGTAAGAAATGCTACAATCAGAAGCGGATTTTTTCTACTATGGTCAGTAAAGCGAACAATATTTGTTGCATTTAAACTATTCTACATTGTAATTCTGTTGCATACAAGAAGACTTTTTTTTTCATAGGCATGTTTTTTAGATAAAAAAAAGTGTTGAGTTTTATATTTATAAAAAGAAAATTCTTTTTTTGTTTTGCAAAGTTTATTTTATGAGACTAAGCATAAGGGTACAGTAAAGTCTATCTATTAAATCCTTACCACATTGTAAAAAATTCCAGATCAAATTACTGTAAAAAGTACCGACACTCAAGGTGCGGTACTTTTTACCTTAAAATCAATTTTACCGCTACATGTTTCTAAGCAGAAAAATCCGATATATCGTAGTTTTTACAGTAAAAATAACAGAAAAAATCTCTGAAAATCTACAATTAAATAATTTTACTGTGAAATTTACGGGTGATGTACCCAAAATGCCGGTACTTTATATCGTAATTTGTTCCAAAATTGTTTTTACAGTGAAGTTCCAGAAATATCAAGTAAATTAACACTGTAGCTTTTCTCTATATCAAGACATTATCATATCAACGTCTATTATACTGAGCGATTTTTCATTGCATGCAGTCTTTTATAACGTTCCTAATTATATTGCGGCTTTTTATATCACACCTTTATCACGCATATGCATACATTACCCTTTTAAGTAGCCCGGAAAATTGGTTCGCATAAAAATGTTTCCCTTTGAGCAGTTTAAGAATATTGCTATAATTTGTTGTTGTTGTTTCTAATGCCTCTTGCCAATACCAGCAAGTCTGCGTGGTGAAACCAAGCGAATAAGGCAGAAAATGCCCTTCTTGTTCTTCAGTGGTGTCATCTATGGCCAAATCGTAATTTTGACCTAAACCAGCGAACGATCAATCTTTAATTCAGTATCCTAAGAGGTATAGATCTGATATGGAAACTTAAGAGGATTTTGTGCCCGACAGATTTAGTGAACACCAGTCACCATTTACTACACAGGGATCGAACTCACGACCTCTTGTGTATGAGTCCAACGCTCTACCAACAAGATTATCCTGACCCTGCTATGATTTCATTGTAATTATCTATTATTGAATATCCATGATTTCATTGAAATTTAAAGTACAAGTATCGCATTATTTTCTACGTAAAAAAAAAGTTCCAGACTTTTAGATCGCAAAATAATAAATATGCACGAAAAACAATAGATTTGAAAATTGAACGGCATTACATAGTAATAAAACCTAGTAATAAACAGAAAAAAATGATTTAATATGTTTAGATAGAAAATATATTGAACAGTGAAAAAAAATTTAATTCTAATAAATTGCGATAAAAATGAATACTTATAGAAAAAAAAAGAATAATTAACTCGCACGACGCAAGATGGAACAATAAATAAATAAAAAAAAGTATCCTGCCCCCCCCCCNCATTCCTCCCCCCCCCCCCAAAAAAAAAAAATTCGAAATACCAGATACTAGACAGTTAACAACAAATTTTATCCTATGCAGAATATAGTTTGCAAATTCCAAGAAAAAGCGAAATAAGATTAATATTAGAATCAAGGTTTTACCGATAGAAAATTCTACAAAACGGTGCAATAGTTATTGAAGCTTCCAGATCGAAATTATAGAAAGCGAAATAAAAAAAACTTCCTGACAGGACAAAAGAAGGATTGATAAAATTGTTTACTACACGGTTTAGTGCGTTATTTAGTTTTCTGAAAGTTAAATATTAATGCTAACACCACAAATGCTTAAAAAAATTCAAAAAAAGGGCTGATTGGAAACTTATAGGATTTTGAGATTTTGTTACGAAATTACATTTCGATCCTCGTTCTTTAAATGTTATATAACTTTTAGTTGTTGCATCTGTGTTTCAAATGGATAGTCATATTAGCCAATGATACTTTTAAAGAAACTGATGGCTAATTTTTAAAGTAATATACTTGGCTGCATTGAGATGAATAACACAGAATTAAATAAAAAATGTTTTGCTAAAAATGTCTTACCTGTATCCCTCGTCTATTCGTAAACCTTTTCCAGTTGCTAAGTCCTGGGCGCCAGTACTCCAGAAGGTACTCTTCTGTATACTCTCGACCTTGACCATTACCGAACCTTCCCTGGGTCGCCACGGCTGTTATGACGTATAAATTAGGAAGGTAAACTTCTAAATATTCGTGTACATCTTTGCTTATTTGTCTCTCTGGACACCAGGCACCGCCATTTATTTCTCGGTCCAACCTGGCAGAAGAAAAATAAATATTTTACTCGGTACAGTGAAGTTCTAACAAAATTTATTTCAGCAACAATTTTTAGTGTTAGAAGTTGCACATATTTTTTAATAGCAATATTTATTGCTTACACTGTTAGAAATTTCTCTAAAAAATTTCTCTAAAAAAATGATCAATTAACAATTTATTTAATTGTTATTTTACCATATTCAAATAAAACAGTCGAATAACCATAAATAAGATGGTATTCAAACTGTTAACCGTGAGTAACTGTTTCCCCCTAATATGATAAAGCGACCAGAATTTTATCGCACCAACTATACCAACTTAGCGAAGTCGCTTAGTTTCTGGCAGATGGGTACGTGTTATAGAGGAATGGGCTAAATCTGTCAGTCTCATGACCGACAGAACGGGGGTTCGAATCCCAGAGTTGACATCACAATATTTCCTTCATTCCCTTCAACACGTGAAGAAATTCCAGTGTCCTTCACTCCATAATTTGTGAGCGTAATTTGTGAACTTAATTTTCTTAAATTAAGAAATAAACAAAACAATGAAAAAAGATTACTATTTTGTGTTGTTGAACAATACTCACTAACAAAGGAATAAACAAAAAATACAATTTTAATGCACTGAACAGTTAGAAAGTACAATGAACTTGATTGAACTAATATTACGAATTTCTCATTATTATTCATATTCATTATATTCATAAATTAAGAAATAAACAGGAAAATGTAATTTCAATATGCTGCAGAGTTAGAAAATCAAAATAATTTTATTAAAATAAAATTAGAACTTCCTTATAACTATTAGCAATTTCTGGGGCTCAAAAATATATGTAAGGAATAAATATAAATTAAAATTGTTTTTCAGCAAAGTTATAATGTATAATAAATTTCATTAATACAATAAAATGAAATTTTTATTAATATTCGCTTTTTCTGGGACTCATTTTAACGAAATTTTATAGTTTAGTATTTGAGTAAACCTACGATTAGATTTCAGAACTGAGCAAACCGTAATATTTAGCAGATGACTTTAGCTATGGTATTTTATCTCAAATTAAATGAGTAATATTATATTAGAAAACAAAATAGTTTTCTCTCAGTGCACGGCATTTTAATTAATTTCAGGCAAAAATCCTTCAGATTTGGAACAAAGAATTTTATTCTGGAAGTTGAAGAATGTTTGGAATGTGATCCTTCGACTGATTACGACTCACACTGAAGGATAATGAAGAATAAGAAAGTCAGGTATTTCAATTAAAGCGAGTAAACAATTATTATTGCTTCTGTTTGTAATCAAAACTTTTCAAAAAGTCATTTTAAAGGTGCTATAACGCGTGAGTTGATATTACAAATTGGCAGATAATATTTCAAAAGATTTGTTCTCTTTTTCTTTATCTCCTATAGGGCTCTGCCCTCTCCAATCGCTTCGTTCACCATCCCCTTAGTTGCTCCTCATTCATCATTTAATATCAAGGGTTAAAAACGGTTTAAGTCCATTTTTTTAAAAACTGTCGTTGAATAGCCGCTCCAATTCTGAGTTTAAGATTATCAATGTTCAACCTCGTAGCCTTATAATTTTGAACTCAATTCAGAAGACAAGGGAACTATTAGATCAAGTATTGGAGGAAATTTGCCCTTGTGCAGAACTTTTTGATGGGATTAACACGCATATGCGTTACATGGAGAGAAAAACCACGTAAATTCTCCTACATCTAGCTTGATGACAAAAAGCTCAAACCCATGACCCGTCTACCACTGAGGATATTTTCGTCAGCACTACGATCGGTGTAAAAGGCTTGTTTCTCCCAATGTTTAATCCGGGAGTTCCTTTGACTTCTGGGTTGGGTTCAAAATTGCAAGGCTACGGAATTGAACATAGGTGGTTTGTTAGCTCAGAATTGTGTCCACTGTTCAGTACTGGTTATGAAATAAAATAATCAGCGTGGCGTACATAACCAAAAGTGAACTTCTAAAGTTATCAGAAACCACGTATATAATAAAACATGTTTTTGTAAAACTAAATAATTTAAAATCAATTAAGTGATTATTGAAATATGAAAAACGTTATGAACTGATAAGGAAAATTAATAGAAACATCTAAGTTTATGCTTAATTAATTTCAGTTGTAGGTTCTATTAGTTTTATGATGAGTGATGTTGTTTTAATAGGAACCTAATATACTACGATTATACCATAATAGTTACAAACCTATTAAAGTGATATAAATACAAGGTAAGAGGCTTTTACGTCTCCCCGAAAGAGATAAGCACATATTGAAGAAGACTGCGAAATTGTGGTAAATTTTGATTATATGGAGTTAGCCTCAAGCTACAGCACCAAGCAAAATTAACTGCATGGTGCTGTTTCGTAAAACGTGTTTTACTTAATCTAATAACGAAAAGTTCCTGGTTAGAGAAACAAATAATTATTTTATTTTAGCTTTAGTAATAGCATCAGTTTATGTCTTTAAGTTTAGTGCATGATTGAATTTTAAAAACGGAATTCAAAGCTAACAATATTTTGAACTCAAATAATTTTCAAGCTGTGAGACTTAAAAAAATAATTTAATGTACAAAACACATATGCTTTTATCGATACAAAAAAATAATAGTTCTATTAAGTTTTATTTGAGTCATTTAGGCGAAGATTTGCAGCTAAGAAAAAAAATGATGCAGGAGGAAAATTTAAGTTCATTAGAATTTAAATTGATGATTAAGTTTCAACGTTTAATTAGTATTCCATTTATAAGACTTTTAAAAACATTCACTTCAATGAAATAGCTTTTAAACTACGCAGAAAGTTTTCTAATAAGTTACATAAATAAGTCGGATAGCTGAAATGTTCAAATTTGTTTTATTTCCACGTTTTCGAATTCTTTTTTTCTTCTTTAACATAATTAGAGTAACATTTCGTAATTTAGCAACGGAAGTTACTAAATATTTGACAGAAGGTCTGTCTTTTCAAAAACTCTTAAAACACACGAACCGAAGCCATTTCCTTTAAAGCTCTTAAGAACAAGGCATAATTGCTTTTAAAACGACAAACAGCTTTCGGCAATAAAACAACAGTAACAACTTCATGCTAAATTTGTTCTTATACGTCACAGAAACTTTAGTACTTATTGATAAGTCTAGAAATGAAAAGACTTTTAGACGATCGATTGTAATGTTCTGGAAAATTGAAAACGTGAACTGGATCATTCTCCCATCCAACAGTGATAGTTTGGCGATAAAGTTGCATTATGTAATCATTTCATTCCCCCTATCATTCCTTTTTAACGAAATCGAGGCGACCATAAAAACTTTTTGGGGAAAATAAAATCCGCCAAATGGTCGGCCATCACTTATTATGTATTGTATTTGGCTGCATTCCAAATAGAAACAATGTAACGCGCGTTGACCGGAATTTTGAAGCCGAAATAGGGTGATGCGTATCATATTAAGTTCTTTCAGTCAAAGCTGACTGAATGCTTGTCAAGATATTTAAACTGAAAGCGAAAAACAAGTATTTATTCTGTCATCATAAGAGTTGTTAATGACTGAGAAGATTCCAAATACAAACAACTTCGCAATCAAAAAATAATTATGGGCATAATTACTTGATTTTCATCCAAATTATTTTGTCAATGCGTTACTTGCTCAAAAAGCTGTCAAGAAATTATTTTCTTGCTTACATTAGATATGTTTGAAATGATTTATTTTTGATGTTCTTAATATACATAGCTAGGATTTTTAAAGGAGAATCGTTAACTAAATAACTGGATGATTACCAATGAGCATTTGTGAAGTTTCTATATACCATCACTTAACGAGCATACGTGAAAATAGTATATACTCCTACATTTTTATTTAACTATCATTTGACTGATTATTTTTATTGGTAACTGATTATTTTTACTGATGATTAAATGAAGATCGAATATGAATTATCTAAAAGTTTTAATGTGGTAACTGGTTATGATTGCTATGTATATTGTCACTTATGATTGCTATGTATATTGTTATTGTAATGTCACTGAACTAAAATTTAGTTCAGTGACAAATCACTGAACTAAATTTCAGATGAATATTTAATAAATCCTTATTTACTACCACATATTTTTTACCAAATAAAATAAGTGAATTTAGTTTATACTCATATCGTTTTTATTAAACCTTTTATTTTGTTACAACGCTAGATAATCTTAGTAAAAATTGTTGATGGTGATTGCATGAGCATAGAGTTGGCAAAAGTTTCAATCAGGCAATTGGTTCCTGATATCAAAATAAATCACGGAACCAAATTTTAGATGAACATTTAATGAATCTATAAACAATTGCTTCATTTTAACCATTTCCTTACGGCTGGTATAACAGGTGGACCAGCATAGTGGGCTTCATCATACTAAGGGCCTAAGCAGAAGGATAAATGAGTCAAACAAGTAAATTTAGTATAAACTCATACATTTTATTGAACCTTTAATTAATTATTTTTTTGACTTTGTTAGATAAATTTATTAATATATTTTTGATGGTGATTTAAGGAGCATACTGTATGAATTATAAGAAATTTAAAGCCTGAAAATAATTTTTGATGTTTAAATATATCGCAAATAAAAAGTGGAACATACTGAATATCTTTTGATCCTAATTAACTGATTTTCACGCACTAACACTTAATATTATAAGTTTGAGGGAGTGACTTCAAATATGCTAATTAGTCATGTTACGAAATCAGAGCCAAAAAATTACTTTTTCGGAATAATCATGCCATTTTTTCGACGGATTTGGATTTACTGACCCTTTAGAAAATAGGGCGTAGCCGCAATCTGGGAAGTATGGTCCGAATAATTTGATCAGGCGAAAGGTCGAAAATTTATACCCCTTAATAATAATTTTGGTTCTGCGTATATTTCGCCATAACTCTAGAATTTTTTAAGTGAATTGAAAAAAATTTTATACGCATTTATAAAATTTGTTTATTTAAAAAGATAGCTTCAGGGAAAAAGTAGCTTTCGATA